AAGACTGGACAAGCGGGGCTCCAGGAAAGCTTGGATGTGGTGTGAGCACTGAACGGGGAGTCAGGGGGGCCGCGGACCAGCAGGAAACTTAGGTCATCAAAGCAGTCGAGAAATAACCTGCAGTCTTGGAAAAGAAAAGATCTCTGTAAAAATGACCCCCCAAATCCCCACATAGCACATGACGCAGGAGAGAAAATTCCGTACTCAAACAGCACCAGTGAGGGGCTTCTGGTAGCTGCCGGCCAGGCTGTATCCTCGCTGTGGCGGGAACGGACAGCTGCCCCCACCAGGCACACGGGACACGCCTAGCCCGGACTGCCACTCGGATCCCGCAGAGAAGCGCCCCGCCCCGAGCGGTTTAAGGAAGACAAAGCACCTTGTGTTTGCGGGCAGCCCACCTTCCCAAGCCCCACGTTCCCAAAGATCACGTTTGTCCCCAGGAACAGAGGTGCCAGCCACTGTCAACCAAGTTCTCGCCCGTGTTCCTCTCTGCAAGGACGTGCCCAGGATGTGGCAGCAGGCCCGGTGGATCCGAAGGCCGAACAAAGAGGCTCCTAAGGCCCCAAACAGGACAATCCGACCCATACGAACAGCTGCGATGGATTAAGATATATGAAATATTTAAGTCTTTTACTTCTGTTAAAAACAAGACCACTGATGCTAAGCCCCCGTCACCAAACTGAGACTTAGTTACAGCTTCAAGTCCCCCAGAAACGGAGTGACCAGCACCAGTCAGTTGGGTGATCTGCCAGATGGACCCGTGAGCGGTGACCCTGCAATCACCACCCGATTTCTTTCCAGACCAAGTTCCTCATCAGCGCCCCCTGCTCAGAGCCTCTCACCTTGTCCACCTGCTCGGAGCCCCTTTCCAGCTGCTGGGTGGGACGCTGCCCCGTTCAGGATCCCTTGAACAAAGCCAATGAGATCTTTTAAATGTATTCACTTAAATTCTATTTTGTAAGAGTTTATAGCGATATTTGTAAAAACCCTTGGGAAGATGCTAACGGCAAACTCACTATCCTAGAAACTGGTAGATACAAGGGGAAGAATCAGGCCTGTGTACCCCCTGTCCTACAAACTGCACCTCACGGCAACAAGGAGGTAAGGGGGACGCTTCTGGTCATTAGGTGAATATAAGAAGGGAAATCTCGACAGAACAAGGACACTGCAACTCTCAAGAACTAGGTGATAAATCCGAGCAACGCTCACCGATGGCTGCTAACATCTCAGGAGACAGACAAGCCAACATCACGTACTTGTTGGAAGGCACCACTATGACGCTGTCTTTTAAAAAGCGCCCCCAGGAGCTGGTTCAGGTTCCGATTTCTAAGAAGACACAGGTCAGCGGGGCTCTGGGGTCAACAGCGTGCGGCAAGGGCGTCAGAGCGCCTGGGGTGCAGGAAGGTGTCATCTAAGCAACGGAACAGCATCACCAGGCTCCAAATACCGTGATTTCACTTTTCCCCAAACACCCGTTGGTGTCAATCATGACCATCAGGCACAGTGTGGCCCTGGGATCACCTTAATCATACAGCACACATCATAAAGCACATAATTACACAGAAAACCACTAACTTCCCACAGAAATAAAAATCAGTCCTTCTGCTGTCGTGCTGCTGCGGCGGGGGGAGGGGTGCATGGGGAGGGAGCCTCGGTGATGAGCAGCCTCCCAGTCATCTCTGTCCCCGTGAGGGGCTTCTCCAGACGCTCAGAGTCCTTCTTCCAGGTCCCGTGACCTGTCATGTTGGCCATAACTAACCCCAAGTCAATGCCACTCGGGAGCGCGTGTGTGGGAGGTCCTGGGAGAGTGGAGAACCGCGAGGCTCCCGGGGCGCTGCCGGCCGTCGGGGGCTCCTCTCGCCCGGCCCCGGGCGGCTGACTGACACAGCGGCAGCTTCGCGACTCAACCTCATGTGGCGGACGGCAATCGTTCGCTTTACACCCACGTCAAGAACCGCGTTTTGTTGTCCTTTATCCTCAAAACATTGCCCAGAACCTGTTCAAGCATGATACTCAAAGGTTTGTGGGCGTCACTAAAGACCCCACTAACCCATCACGATCGATGTCACTGTTTGCAAAGTCAACCGCGGGGCAACGGCATCCAAACCCGGGGAGGCTCGCCGGCCCAGTGCAGGCCTCCCAGACGCAGCACCTCCGCGGTGACGAGGAACTGCCCCCGTGATGGGCGCGCTGCCCGCGCTCTCACACTCGAGGTTTCAGATGACAGAGGGCCCTCAGACCCACCAACCCACCGTCCAAAGCCACAGGCTTCCTGCCTGACGTGCCGCAGACTCACCGAGGCGCTCAGCAGATGCTGGAGCCACAGGGAGGCCGGTGGCGGGGCGACCGTGGACGCTGGGGCCCCACCTGTGCCCGCGACACACAGAAGGCGGAGAGCAGGGAATCCAGAGCCGGACGAGCTCGGAGCTCCACTCGCCGGGATGCACGTGTGCATGTGTGCGTGGGCCCGTAAACACCACCGGTGCCTGGTTCACCCCACCCTCCCACGAGGCCACCGGCTCCCACCTCAGTCCCCCTCTCCTGCCTCCGTGGGGTCCTAGTAGCTCACGGGCTCCACTCCATTCTGCTTCAGCTGTTCGCCCAGAACCGGACGGGGAGGGAGGGCCCAGGCCTCCCCACCCCCTGGTACATCAGTGCCCCCGATCCGGGACTGTCGGCCCGGTGCCCCGGGTGCGTGCTAAAGGCCAGCCCTGACCGGGTCATGGACCAGGGGTCCTCAGCAGAGGCAGCTGCCCCTGCAGGGCGTGGGGGGAGGGGAGCTTCGAATGGCTGGGCCAGAATGCAGGGGTAAGCAGAGACCCCCCGCCTGTATCCGGGGTCAGCGTGGGCCCACAGAAAGGCATTGAGCAGAAGAAGCATCTGCCGCGATTTGCTCCCAGAAAGACGGCTGTGGCCACGGGAAAGGGGGCGGGGGACACACGCTGGGGTCCATTCCAGACTCCAGCCGAGGCTTGAGCCCAGGACTGGCCCCAGGAAGGAGACCCCAGCACTGACCTGCGATGACCTCCCTCCGTGGGGCCATCCCATGGCCGCTGTGAGCGGTGGCTCACGGGCCCCCGGGCCAGGTCACAGGCAGCAGGTCCCCCGAGGAGGCCATCAGCACAGCGCCCCATGGAGGGAGACCTTCCCCGTGTGGCTGTGGCAGTCAGGGCAGGCTCTGAGCCGCCGGCGGTCACACAGGAGAGCCGAGACCGGACAGAGAGCTACAGACCCACTCTGTGCACTGGAAAACGAGCTACTCAGAGTCTGCCCCGCACCTGCCTCCCTCCCTCGGCACCAGATCCCCCCATCTCCACAGGGAGCAAGGACAACAGGGGGGCCTTCCCGTCCACTCGGGAGGGGCTGTGGGGCCCAGCGGGCCTCGTCCACAGAGCAGGATGCACAGCGCCATGGAGGTCTGTGGCTTGGGGGACAGAGGAGGTGAACCCAGTGAGAGCACAGGCCGGCTGGGCACGGCCCTGACCCCCTCGCCCAAGCACGCAACACCCTGGGGTCCTCACTGCTACCCCTGGGCACGGTGCTGCCACCACCACGCCACGGAGAGCCCACGCTCCAGGCTGCAGAGCGACAACCAGAGTCCAGTCCCAGTGTGCCGCTCCGGAGGCCGGCCACTGCGGCCCAGCTGAGCAGGGAAGGACTAGATAACCTTCCAGCCGCAAAGGTCAGCGCTCCCCAGTGTCCGCGCCGCGAAACTGTGCTCTCACTCATGCGGGAAGCACACCGCCTTCCCAAGTGCCCTTCCCAGCGCGGGCGCACCGGGTGAGGGGCAGCGCCGTCCCCAGCCCTGTCCCCAGCCCTTCCTGCCCTCGCCTTCCCCGAGGTGGCCATCCCACGTGCCCGCTCCCAGCGCGGAGAGCACCAGAGAGCCGCGGAGCCCCATCGAGGGGAGACTGACATCAGCCTCCCGCTCCCAACAGTCACCGACAAGGGACGTGACAAAAATCAAGTTTCTAAACCTACAGGAGACGCCGGTGGGGCCACCCCACCAGAAGGAACCACCCACCGGCCAAGTTCAAGTGGCCAACGGTGTTCACACGTGCAAGGGTCCGTCATCAGAGTTGTGGCTCAGGACCGCTGATCCGGGGAGTGTACGAGACACCGCCATTGGCAGCACAAATGCCTACACGTGGACACAGACACGCAAGGGATGAGTGGCAGCGATGGCCCAGCTGGCCTGCTCTGCTAGGGCCGCCCACAGCTGCACGGAGACCCAGACACAGCCTGCGAGGGACACAGCCCCAGGTGGACACTCGCCATCCCATCTGTGCTGTCCCTCGGGGGTCAGCACGTGGCTTGCCCCATCTAATGAAAACCACTTTCAGAGTAGGGTGGGGAGGAAGGGCAACAAGTAATTTAGTGCAGATGAACCGCAGCCAGGGGTCCAGCCTCTGGCTTCGGTTATGAGACGGCCAGGAGCCCGTGGGAAGTGACCCAGGCCTGGACTGGGGTCAGGCTGGGCACGGAGGAGCATGGGGCTCTCAGCCCGCATGGGTCATGCTCGCTCTGTCCTCCGGGCACCAACCACTGACCTGCTGAGCCGTGAGAGCTGCGTCCACCGAGTTCCACAGCAGCTCCTGGAGTTTTGAGAACCGAAGCCAAGCCTGCTGATGGTTCCCCTCCAGCTGCACACTGTGCTTCGTCCCTAACCCAGACGAACTTTTCTCCTCTCGCGTTAACCCGCTCATCGCAATAACCTCCAGGACCAAGTGAGGAGCATCTTGGGAGCTCCTCACCGGGTGTGGGCAGCTAACAGCCTCGGGCCTGCAGCCGGACACCATGGGGATGCCACGGGGACGCCACGCGGACACCACGGGGACGCCTCAGGGATGCCATGGGGGTGCCACGGGGATGCCACCGGGACGCCACGACAGACACTGTCCTCCCAGACCCAAAACACACTCATCTCCTACAAGGACCAGAAAAGCTAAGGGCAGGACTTTGAGCTTCCAGGTCAAACTAAGGATTAAAGTGGTCCCTACCTGCAGGTGAATGTGACCCCTCTGGTGGGTCTCTGACAAGCCTGAGGACGTCAGGTACGTCGATCTGAGGGTCACCTTCTTCTTTTTCGGCCTCATCGGAGCCTCTCCGGGAAGAATGATGGTTGCGTCCAGTTTTCTTGCACAGGACAAACCTCCAGCAGTCAAACATGAGTCTGCAGTGTGAGAAACAGATTTTCAAAGGAAAATGAGCTAACCCTGCCCAAAGACAGCATAGTCGTTTCTCGAAGTCCTAACAACTAGATGCAACCTTTTGCAGTGTTTATTCAGAAATGGAAGGAGTACGTTTAAAAGGAAATTCATTTTCGTCCAATGAATGTTTACTGCCCCAACGTTCAGCTAAACAAACAGCCTTCTTTTATGATATTGGCACGGAATAAAGGTTGCATAAACAAAAATATTATTTACTTCTGCTTAAGAAAAACAGAGTCCTAGATTTTCCCCTTGACATTTAGGCTCTTGTTTCAAGGATATAAAAATCCCTGATTCCGTGGTTTCAAGGTCACAGTCTAATTCACCGAACTGGCAAATTTTCAAAACCACTGCTGATTGCTTATTCAGATTACTGAAAAGCATGTGAAATCGTCTGAGCAGAGAATGTCCTCCTGAGTCCCAGAACAAACATTAAGGTACGATCCCCCCTGTGAAAATCCAGCAAAAGAAACTTAAGTCAGGTTTTTGGGAGGCAATCCTGAATGTAAACAGACGGCTGGTAAGGACCCTTGAGACAGAAAGCCCCGGAAGTCATGTGTGGCGCACACGGCTCCCAACCACGCGGTTTTGTGCTGGTGTCTGAGCTCATGTGTGGTTCCTTATGACATCGCCCTGTTGACTCGGTAACTGGCAGGCCTTGTCTTCGAGAATAAAGATGGACATGATCTGACTTGAATATTATTACCAACAATATCACCTTTCCACCTCAGTGTTTTATGTTCTGCCTCATGCATTGGGGCGTTTTGTCCCGGCCCCAAGCCACGCCCCACCGGGAGGAGGCCACCCCGGGGCTGAGCACCACCCACTTCCCTTCCTCCCACCGACGCCCCTTGTCATCCCAGCTCAGCACCCCCCACTCTCCCCCTCAAGGCTCTCCCTGACCGCCTGGCCCCCGACGGCCAGCCCGCCCTCCATGCTGTGCCCAGGCCTGGCTTCCTTTCAGACCCCCAGGGCAGCTTCGAAAGCCCACCACTGCCTGCCCGCATCTAGGGAGGAGTTTGGACGAGCAGGGCGCTGAGGCACAGAGCCTCGCCTGTCTTTGCAGGGAGGAAGGAGCCGCCACCAGACTGGGGTAACTCTGGCCGGCAGACACACAGCCCGGTTCCCTCATGCGGCAAGCGCCACCAACCCCACAGCCCTGCCCAACAAGAGACCCATTTCCTCCCCCATCTTCCTGCCAACACACAAGCTCAGGGCTTCCCCTGCCGGTCCCCCAGTATGCACAGGTCCCTCTGGTTTTATTCCCACCGCTGCTGGCCCCAACTTGCTCGGTACCTACACGTGTCCTTCGTGTCACTTCTCTGGGCATGCGCTTCGGGTCCCAGTGGACGCTTTCTGGATCTCTCTGCCCAGCACCAGAATGAGGATCCCTCACGCTGAACCCGGGGGACAATGAGCCGCTCTCCCCCAAAAGGCCCTGGGACCGCTGCATTTGCGGCCTGTCTCCGGATCCAGGACCATCAAATCGCGTTCCAGGAACGGCGCCGACGGCGGCCACAGTCAGACCGAAGCTAATGATTTCCGATTGCCTCAGTCTGGCCTTAACATGAAACACGAGGAGGCACATTTCCCTGGTTAAAACAAAACCAAACCCCAAACCCTGTTTTTTCCCTCCTTTCTTCCACATTCTGCTCAGAGGATTTCAAACACGAGCAGGCTGATGGTAATCTTAAACCTCTGGACGGAAAGAAAAGGCCCGGTGTGTGATTCCACCTTTGCTCCCAGGAGAGCTGGGCTCCTGCCCCTCCACCCACCACGGAGACCGCAAGCGTCACCAGGCACTCAGTCTCCCGTCTTGAGACCCAAGCAAGACGGTCCAAGGTTTGTTTTTAAGGAGTTTGTTCTCAAAAGAATGCCCTCCACTCCTCTTGGCTGGAGGACCCATGAGGCCGTCCCCGCTTCCACCGGCAAGGTTGCAGCCAGGCAGGTCAGCCCTGAGCACCCCGAGGACGGCTGGTTCCGGGGGCCAGAGGGGTGAGCCCCTGCCCCCAGGACTGTGGTCCTCCAGCGCCCCGGGCCCCTCCCTCCCCCCCCCCCACCCCGCCCCGGCCCGAAGCTCCCAGGCAGAAGGCGGCATCTCAACAGTGGTTTCCCACAGCTAATGTCACCCCGAGGGCACAGAGCTCAGACCCAGATGGCAGGCCCGTTCACTTTAAAAATCTCCAGGCTGGGGGTGCCTGGGGGACTCAGTCGGTGAAGCATCTGACTCCTGGTTTCAGCTCTGGCTGTGATCTCAGGGTCCGGGGTTGAGCCCCGTGTCGGGCTCCACGCTCAGCAGGGAGTCTGCTTGAGATTCTCTCTCTCCTTCTGCCCCTCCCACCCGTGTGTGCAAGCTCTCTAACATAAGTCTTTTTTTAAAAAATAAAAATAATAAACAAACAAACAAATAAGAATCTCCAGGCTGGCATAACCACGCAGCACCAAATCGTTCTGTCTTCCACTGAGAAGTTCCCAATAGGTGAGGACCCGGAGCAGTGACAGTCACCAGGTCTGGTTCTGTGCCTCTCTCGAGTCCAGGCATCCCCCTCGCAGCACACAGGGGACTTGGGGGCTGGGTGGCAGGGACGTGGCAGAGCACAGCAGAAGATCCAAGCCAACCAGCGTCACCCGCTCCTCCTTCTGCTGGGCCACCTCCCTGCGCACCTGCTTCGGTGCCGAGAGCATCAGGCAAGCCCTGCCCTGCAGGAGCTCGGAGTCCCGGGAGAGCGGCCCGTGCACACGCACACCCGGGCTCGGCGTCGCTCACACTCAGTGCTGTCGCTGCACCCGGGGCACTGTGCATGCTCTCACTGATGAGACGGCTGCCTGAGGACAGGAAATCTGACTCTCCTCTCCTGCTGCTGCTTCCGAGCGGGAGCCCCAGCACTAGAGAAATGCACCGAAGATGCCACTGTCACTGCTGTCTGCACTGCGGTCTCCCAGACAAGTGCGTTATCAATCAGTTACAAATCGCCAATACTGAGAACGTAGTAGCATCACTCAAAAGCAGAGGAGGCGGTTCTAGGACAGAGAAGCTGAAGGTGGAGGGGACTTGTCATTCCCCCATCTTCTTCCCACCACGGGCCACAAAGTCGAGATGCCCTAGCATTTCCTGCGACCACGCAGTATCAGACATCCCACTGTGGGCAGAGAGTTCTGGAAGTTTCACTCAAGGAAGTCAGGAGGAAGCAGGGTTACGTCCCCATCTCAAAGAGGAACACGCCACAGACAGGCTACGCCGGCCGGGAGCCCATGGGGAGTCTATAAGCCCCTGGGCGGCCCGCAAGAGGGGACCGCCCCTGCCTCTTCCAGCGGCCACGCCAGGCGACTGCAGCGCCAGACTCCGCCGCGAGTGCGGGCTTCCTGTGAGCCGGCGCCTGGCCCACAGCTGCTTCTGCAGGTGCTTTGGTGAAGACCGACCCCATCCTCTCCTGCCCTGTCCAAAGGACGAGAGCATCTCTGCTGCCCGTGTGTGTCCAGCCCAGCGAGTCTCCCGTCTGCCAGCAAAGAGCCTCACTAATGTTCTCGTGAGCAAATACAAAAGGACAAATGCAGTAAACGCTTGTAACTACTTCTCCAGGAGCCTCTTAAAATAATACGACACCCACGAAGTCGGGGACCACGTGCTGTTGGTTGGGAGCATTCCAGGCCGGCTTGGTTGCGGCCCACACACACTCCACGTCCTCTGCTTCAGCTGCAGGATTCTGTTCATATTTCAGAAGTTCAGTAACGTGGCGGCGGACAGCTCTCCTTCCACAGTGATTGGGATCTCTCCTCGACTTGCCCAGATGCTGCTTTCCCAGATAAATATCCCATTTTCAGTTCAAGACCGCAGTGGGAAACCTGAGACTCAGAGAGGGGGAGAGGGTCATCTGCAGGCTGACGGTGTGGCCGGTGAGCACCAGGGAGCACCAGCGGGGGGCAGGGGGGAGACTCTGCTGGAGACTCTGCTGGAGGTGGCTTTCCAGCTGCCTGAATCCTCCCGACTGTCAGGGGCTCTGCAGGGCCAGTCACCATGACCCCTGCAGGACGGCCTCCTTCTAGCTCCCTGTAAGTTCTCCTGTAAGAAAACCTTGCCTCTCCTGCTCTGAGAAGAGTTGCCCCAGGCCCTCCAGGCCCCAGGGCCCCCACCCCGGGCTGTGGGCCCTATGTGGCAGAAGCTCTCTGCACCAGCCTCTTCCCTGCACAACTGTGTGAGGCAAAACTGATGCCCCAGGAGCATTAGCCAGGCCCAGACCGTGAGACCAGGGTGGGAGGGCGCAGCCCAGCCCACAGGGTGGGGAGCGGGGTCCTGAAAAGCGAAGCGGTCCTAAGATAGAGCCGGATCACCCCAGCGAGAGCCCCCTCCTCACCACCCGCCCCCAGGTCGGGGCAGGACAGTCCCCTCCCCGGTGGTGTGAGCAGAGGGCGTAGGTCCCAGGAGGATGGGCAGAGCTCAGAACAGCCTGGTCTGTGAACTCGGGTCTGCAAACCAGCTTCGGCCTGTCATCCCCTGGATTTGCACAGTAGAACGCCCGCCTGCCCGCCAGTGCAAGGGCTCCTTCCCCAGGGTCCGCACCTCCTCACCAACCTGCCAAGTGGGGTCCTCTGCTTGCCGCAGGGGGGGCCTGGACACTCTGCAGCCAGCAGCCCCTGGGGACCCACTTCTATTTTTGTGGTGCCCCTGTGCCTCCCAGCGGCCACACATCCTGGGGCCTCCCACAGCATCCCCCCCCACATCCTGCCGTGCTGCCGGGTCACCTTAACCCCTTCCTGGGCCAGGGCTGGCGGGCAGCCTGCTAGGGTCCCTGGAGGCCTCTGGCCCCTGGACGGGGCTGTCTCCTGTAAGGACCGGAGGCTGTGTGCTCAGGACCAAAGTCTGCTCCTCTCAAACTCCCTCTTAAGTGAGCAGAGCTGCTCAGGAGGAGCCAAGGAGAGCAACAGGGCCCCTTTCTTAAAAAGTGATCGAACAGCCTTTGAAGTTGACTGAAAAGAGCCGCTCTTCTTTTTAAACTGTGGGAGTCTCTCTTGAGTAGCCCTTTTGAAAAGCAAGGCCGCTAGCCTGTGGGCCACCCGCCTTTCCTTGCTGCCGCTGCCGGGCTGGGGGGCCCAGGGAAGTGCAGGCGCCGGTGGGGGGGCCTCCTCCTGCTGCCCCCACACCAACCTGCAGGGCCACCTGTCCCAACACCTGTCCTGACACCTGACGGATGGGGGGGGGATTCGGAGGAGCTTGGGATGTGGCTCTTCAAGGTGGGGGGCGTGGGGGGGGGCGTGAGGGACACCTGCCGCGTGTGACACGACCCTGTGACAATGGGGAGGGGCGTCTGTGCACAGGGAGCCCCGCGCCTCCAGCGGGTGACTGCAGGGATGCACCCCCACCGGAGACCGCGGTCGGGCCCGCCCACCTCCGGACCCTCCCCCCTCCCCCCCGCCCCCGTCCCCATCCACCCCTTCCACCGGCCTCCCCACCCCCGCACACCTGCCCGCCTGGACCGTCCTCCGCGCGTCCTCCGCCGCAGGTGCCGCGCCCGACGCCGCCCCGGCCGGCCGCAGGGGGAAGGGCGGAGGAGGGGGAGGGGTGCAGGGGAGGAGGGCGCCCGAGAGAGGCGGGGAAAGGTGGGGGCGGGGACGTGGTGGAGGGCGGAGGGGGAGGGGGAGGGAAGGGAGGGGCGTGGGCTGAGGAAGAGGAAGAGGGCTCAGGTGGGGGGAGGAGGGGAGAAAGGGGTTAATGTCTGGGGCAGGGGCGGGACCAGGGGGCGGGGGAGGGCGCGGGAGGGGGAGGAGACACCCGAGCCCGCCCTCGCCTCTCCCTACGTGTCCGGTGGGCAGGGGTCGTGCCCCTCCGCCTGGGGTCGCCGGCGACCGGGCGCACATCCGGCACCCCAAGGGGACACGGGCTGGGCTGGACGGGGAGTTCTGCCCGGCCCGACTCCAGTTCCCGGGCTCACCCACAGGAGGAGGGTCCCGCCGGCCGCAAGGCACCTGCTCAAAGCCAGGCTCCATGCGGCCCTGAGGACCTCCACCCATGCTAGGCTCCCCCAACTCCCCAGGAGCCTCTCAGGAGAAGGAGGGCGGCCGGCGGGCGGGGTCAACACAAAGCCTGTGCGCACAGTGGCCTCACCCCTGCGCGGGGAGCGTGTGCTCCAGGCCACCTGCCGGCCGTGCTTCTGGGGCGGACGGCCGGGACCATGGCCAACAACGGGGAGCCAGGGCTCCGGCCCTGTGGGAAGCACAGCCGGCTGTCACAACCTAGGGCGGGGGGTGGGCAGGAGCTCACTGCGCCCCTCGCTGGCCAGGCAGGCAGAGGGCATCAGGTCATCTAAAACATGAAAGTGAATATGAGGACGAAAACATCCAGAACGCTCATTTCAGCTGAGGCTTCACAAAGTCTGCATGTAGCAGGGCGGAGTGGTCAGCTGGTTTAAACCAAACCACGGCATCCTGCCAAGAGGCAGCTCTAACTGCTGGACACAGCATCCTGAGGTGTGGGCGCTGCCTGAGACCCACCCAGGGCACGGCGACACAGGCCTGCAGGGAGGGTGCCCGGCACTGATCCCGCAGGAGCACTTTCCTCCTCCAGGAGTGGCCCTGGGGTCGTGGGGCTCATGGAAGGTCAGCGTGCACCCAGCAAGCTCCCTGGTGGCCGGTGCGCACCGGGGCAGTCAGGCTCCACTGGCCCAGGATGCGGGGTCTGCAGGGGCCACGCTCTCCTGGGAGGTCCCAGGCATGCAGTGGGCACAGTGTGGGCCAGGTTCCTGTCTCAGTGAACAGAGCAGGCAGGGCTCACAAAGGAGGGGGTTAGGCGGGCTCAGGAAGGGGGTGGTTTGAGGGGACAGGAAATGAGATGAAGGGGAAACCCTCTGCTTGGTGGGGAGCTGAAGAGATGGGAAGGGCTGGTCATGGGCAGCGCCCCAAGAACCTTTGGGAGTCAGGGACCAGATGGGTTCCTCTTCTCCAAGGGGCCACAGGGAGGTCACGGTGCTCCAGCGTGCTGGGCTTTGCCTGTTTTTTTAAGACCAACACCTCGTTCCCCATGACTGCGTGGG